CTGCAAGTCTAACGAAGCATCACTTCACTTCCCCTTGCTTCCAACTGCCTTCCCTCTCCGGTAGACCCAAAGATGGTAAACCCAAAGACAACCCTGCAAGAGACAAGTTCCTATTGTAGTGAAACTGAAGTCCAGGAGTCCCAAGATCTCCCCACCACTTACCTCCATGTGCAAATAAAGATGGAGAAAGGCAGAGAAAGGGGGTTTTATTGCACACCATTCCTGGGAAGACATTGCTTCAGTACAAGAGTGTGGGGGTGTACAGACATTGTGTTCAGGTTAAATAGGGAAAATGAAAATGGGGGAGGGAGTGAGAAAGGCATGTATATCTCAGACAGTGCTAGGTCACTGGTCTGGCCTGGTTAACCTTTGTCTCAGTCTTTTCCTCAGAGGAGGTGGGGGAGAATTGTAACTTTGCCATTGGAATGACTGGCAGGTAGTCCTGAGTTTTTGGTTGTTTGCTGTAATATGCTAAGAAGGCTTTGGCTGTTTGAGGGGAGGGTTTGACTTCCACACAAGAGGCTCATTTGTGAAACTTGGAGTTCAAGGTGATTGCAAAGGGACTGCAGCACAGAATAGGTCAGATGAAAGGACACAGACAGCCGGGCGCTGGTGGCTCACGCCTGTAATCCTAGCTAGCTACTCAGGAGAATGAGGTCTTGAGGGTCCTGGTTCAAAGCCAGCCCCGGCAGGAAAGTCCGTGAGACTATCTCCAGATAACCACCAGAAAATCCAAAATGGCACTGTGGCTCAAGCGGTAGAGCGCTCAGCGCCCAGGCCCAGAGTTCAAGCCCCACGACCGACCAAAAAAAAAAAAAAAAAGACACAAAGTTAGGGGGCTGCAGTTCATCCACGGGGCTCAGCGCTAGCATCTTTCAAGTTTTGCAGATGCAGTAGTGATTGCTGTGCTTGGGCCCATCTCCTGCTATGCATGTGACTAATATCCCGTCCTCTATCCTGCGTATAGAAATACCTGCCCCAGGTATTTCGTTGCAGGCAGCGGGTTTCTGGGGATGTCAGGCTGCTCCCTACAAAGATGCAATCCCGGCAGGGTTTTCCATCCCAGGTTCGGTCCCGGACTTGTGGGTTGGGTCTGCCGGCCCCCAGTGCCGGCTGGAAGCAGGAGGGGCGGGGTCGCCCGGGCGTGCGCACTAGCGCCCCCTGCGGCAGGGCCGACAGGGGCAGGCGGGGCCGGGCCAGACTGGCTGCATCCGTCGGGTGCCGGAAGTGCCTCTCCGCCCCTGCACCGGACCATGGAGACCGTGGTCCTGTAGAGTCCGCGGTGTGAGGACTGCGGGGGCGGCGGCCATGGAGGCCGTGCTGAACGAGCTGGTGTCTGTGGAGGATCTGAAGGTGAGGCCTGGCCCGCGGAGGCGAAGGGGAGAATGGTGGACGGGTCCCGAGCAGAGTCCCGCGAAGGCCAAACTCACTCCCAGCCTCTGCTTTGCCCAAGGCAGTCGAACTACGACTCCCGGCAGCCTCTGCGGCGCGAGCTCCTGCCCGAAAGGCGCTCCTGGCTCTAGAGGCTGCTGGGAGTTGTAGTTCTTTCCGCCTCCGTCCGAAGGCCTGGAGTCGGGATCTGGGTTTGCAGAGCTGGGCGTTCCGGACGTCCCTTAGGGGTGAGACGGCGCAGTGCCGAGCTCCGTCCCTGCCGTGTCCCCGGCCTTGCAGCCGTGGGAGGCGGGCCCTGCCTCTGCTCCCGGCGGTCGGCTGAGATGAAAGCGCGGGCGGGCCCGGGCGCCTCCCCGAGGACTCGGGTGTCGCGGGCCAGGCTGGCGAGTTTACGGTCCCGCTGCCCGGGCGGTGCCTGGAGCCGCCAGCAGGCGGCCGCGCCGCCGCGGGGAGGGCGGGAGCAGAGCCGCGGGGTACCAGGCCCCGAGGTCGCGGAGGGGAGGAGAGTGGCCGGCACCTCCGGTTCTGAACGGTCGCCCCTCTGCTCTCCCCTCCTCTCCTCTCCTCCGGCAGAAGTTTGAAAAGAAATTCCAGTCGGAGCAGGCGGCGGGCTCCGTGTCCAAGAGCACACAGTTCGAGTACGCCTGGTGCCTGGTGCGGAGCAAGTACAACGATGACATCCGCAGAGGCATCGCGCTGCTGGAGGGTGAGGCGCCCTTCCCGCCTGCCTGCCTCGGGCTGGGCGTCCTCGCCATTGGCCTCCCTCCCTCCATCTCAAGCGCCGGACCCTACCTCGCAGCGCAGTCCCTCCGCAGCAGTGCCCAGTCAGTCCGCCAGGATGGCTAGAGCCGGCCCTCCACAGCCACAGCTTTCACACTTGCAAATTTATAGTAACCTAAGAGACTTTGAAGAAAGAAAAAAGACATGCTGTCTACTGAGCATGTACAGACATTTCTTTTTGGGGGGATGGAGAGGGGGGTCCGGTCGTGGGGCCTGAACTCTGGGCCTGGGTGCTGTCCTTCAGCTCTTCAGCTCAAGTCTAGCGCTCTACCACTTGAGCCACAGCGCCACTTCCGGCTTTTTTTTTCTGCTTATGTGGCGCTGAGGAATTGAACTCAGGGCCTTAGGCATGCAAGGCAAGTGCTCTACCACTGAGCCACCTTCCTAGCCCCAGACATATCTTTTTAATGCTGAGGCTGAAGCTTGAACTCACTGAGGGCCTGGGCACTGTCCCTGTGGTTTTTCACTCAAAGCTGACACTCTACCCCTCGAGCCACAGTTCTTTTGGTGGTTAATTGGAGATAAGGGTCTCATGGACTTTGTTGCCCTTGATGCTCAGATCTCAGCCTCCTGAGTAGCAGCTAGGATTGCAGGGCCTGGCAAGTGTCTTTGTTAATGCAAACACAGAGCCTACACTGGCAGTTGGGTTGTTCAGGTTTCCCTGATGGAGCTAACCAGTAGATGTGGTCTGTAGTCATCGATAGTCCAGCTGCAGGCAGTGCAGACCACTAGAAAGGATGCAGAACTTCTTGGGTGCAAGCTCTGGTCCCCAGGGAAAGTCGGGGGGGGGGGTCACTCAGGGAAGATGAGTTAGAGAAAAGGAATCACATCCTTTTAGGGGCCAGATGGTCACTGTTCTCAGTCAGCAGATGGTGAGGCCAGTGACTGTAGTAAGATGCACAGCAGAGCTACCCTTTGCGTGTTTTTGTTTCTTTTGATTAAAACAGGCTCTCACTGTAGCTGGCCTTGAACTCATGATCCTCTTCATCAGCCTCCTGAGTACTGGTATTAACAAGAGTGTGTCACAATGCTTGGCAAGGGTAGAACTGCCTTTGAACTTCTGTGCCTTGGTTTCCTATCGGTTCACAAGGATGCACAGCTATCAGTGATTCTGGGATGCATGTCACTGGGGTGTTGGGCAGCCCCTGCTATCATGGAGACGCAACGTCAATGGGAGGTGGAAAGAAGTCTATTGGAGCACCCCATTAAGAGAAGAGAGGCAATTTTTGCTTTCTTTTCCCTCTTCCCCAAGAGCTGCTGCCCAAAGGGAGCAAGGAGGAGCAGAGGGATTATGTCTTCTACCTGGCTGTGGGGAACTACCGGCTCAAGGTAAGGCCCTCAGGAAGGCCACCCGTGGGAAGCGGGCAGGTGTGATGCAGGTGACAGTAGGCAGGCCAGGCCCCTTGAAGGAAGGGTAGAAGATCAGGATCCTGCAGGTGTAGGTCCGCCGTTATGTCGGGTGCAGCCCAGGCCCCGTGCTCTTATCTCCCCTGGCTTATCAACCCCACGCAGTTGGGTCGTGGACTCTACTCCATTGGGTGGGGCTGCGGTGAGGGCTGGGACAGGGAGGAGGTGAGGGAATAGTGGGCATAGGAGAGGAGCCTGGGTGGGGCAGGCAGGGTGCTGGAGTCCACGCGTGCCCACGATGTGGGGCATGTTTTCCCACGAGTCCAGGAATATGAAAAGGCGCTGAAGTATGTGCGAGGGCTGCTGCAGACGGAGCCGCAGAACAACCAGGCCAAGGAACTGGAGCGGCTCATTGACAAGGCCATGAAGAAAGGTGACAGCCTCAGCCTCTGTGTGCCCTCCTGGGCCCCGGCTCACCCCAGCCTCAAGAAGGGGTGCACCCATTCCGCCTCCTGACCCCCTCTCCCTTTCTGCAGATGGGCTAGTCGGCATGGCCATCGTGGGCGGCATGGCACTGGGCGTGGCGGGCCTGGCTGGACTCATCGGGCTGGCTGTGTCCAAGTCCAAATCCTGAAGGAAACTGGACCTGCTCCTTGGCCCCGGGCACCTGGGAGACTGAGGGCACATGAGGGGCCCTGGCCATCCTTGCCAGCCTTCTCGCTTGTCATCTTTTCCCCCTCTCCCCCTATCCCCCCTCCCTCTGTGGCCTTCCATCCCCCCCCCCAAACTGTGACCTTGAGTGTAAATAAACGTAGGCCATGGGCCGTGGCTTGCGAAGCTAGAGTCTGATTTGTGGGAGGGGTGGGCTCGCCTCAGGCAGGTGTTGGTCACCCTCAGTCCTCTCCTGCCCTGGGCCCCCCGGCTCCCGCCCTCTGGGCTGCTGTGAGCCTCTGCTTTGTCCTCTGAGCTGCCCCGCCCACATCCTTCCTTCCTCTCCTCCCCCCTGCCCTTCCGTGGCTTTCTGTGGCCCGGCACCCTGTCCCAGGGGAACGGTTGAGATTTACGGCCCGGGTCTCCTCTCACCCACTCAGCTGCCTCCAACATCACCTGTGGAGTTTTCCACACCAGGAGGCCCCCACTCAGCTTCCTCCCAGGACTCCGCCCTTCCCTCCCTTTGTCTCCCTTGCCCCCCTCCTCCTCCTCCTGAGAGGAAGGGGGGGCAGGGAAGGGAGCCCTGGTGTGGGGTGGTGTGTGGGAGAGGTTGGGGCCATGGGGTATCCCAGTTCAGCCTGTGGAATGGGAGGCCCCACCCAGCCCACTTCGCCCACACCCCCTGGTGCCAGGCTCTGCATGGGCCTGTGTCCTCGCCGCATGCCTATCGTTCCACAGCCTGCCACGCCACGGGGGGCGGGGGTGGGTGGGAAGAGGCACCTGACACTGGAAAGGGGCTGGTGATGGGAGGATGGGCACCCCACAGGCACCCCATTCCCCCTCCGACGGCCCAGGTCCTGCACCAACCTGTACCTGTGACTACCCTGCCCGAAACAGGTGCTGGGCCTGGCTTCCAATCCATCATCATCAATATAGCAGGTGACAGCCGTTGGTAACAGAATGAGTTAGGCAGAGATTAGCCACACGCCCCTGGGCAGAAAGACCTAGCTCAAGACTCAAAGGTCAGCTCCCAGAGGAGGGAAACCCCAGTTGGGGCAGGTGGCTGCCCTCAGCCCTGCAGCACTCAGACAGGGACTCGGGGGGCCACTAACAGGTGAGGGCTGTGATCCCTGGAATCACAAGCCCTGGGCATGTAGCGATTGCCAGCCCAGGGCCCCCCAGCCCCCTTGATAAGGTAGCATCTAGGCTGTACCCAACTCGGATCCCCCAGCTGCCTACCCTTCACCAACCTGCTTAGTCCTCACGTGACCCAGCACCCCAGGGCTGGCTGTGCCCAGGACAGGCAGGGAGACAGTCTGAGGTGGGCTTCTTTGGGCACTGTTACCTTTCCCCTCTTTGCCAGTCCGACTCCATTCTCTGACCTCCTGTGAAGTCTGAGTCAGAGTTGGCCACTTCCCCTTGGCTGCTGATGTCTCCCTTGGGGCGCTCCTGCCCAGGCCGGGGCTGTCTGGCCTGGCGTTAGTCTCCCAGCAAGTCTACTCCCCCACCTGGCAGGGCGGGGAGTGGGGCGGCCCAGAGGCTGGGGGCGGGGATGGACTTTTGGCCATTTATTCCCTCCATCTCTTGTCAACAGCTGCAGAGCAAGCGGGGCTCGGCTCATTCCTCTGACCTGTGGGGAAGCAGAGACCCAGAAGACAGCGGAGAACCTAGAGACAGAGCGGACCTGAGGAGCTGTGGTGGGCAGGGCTCTGCAAGTCCTCCCTGGCTGGAGTCCCTTGGGGGCCCCCCAGGGGTGCTGCCCTTGCCCCTCTGTGGGGCCGCTGCCCCAGGGGGCCCTGTTGCCCAGGATGTCTGTGGCTGTAGAGGCCTTTGGCTTTTTCCTGTCAGCCCTGGGGCTGCTGATGCTGGGGCTGACACTGCAGAACAGTTACTGGCGGGTGTCCACCGTACACGGCAACGTCATCACCACCAACACCATCTACGAGAACCTCTGGTTCAGCTGTGCCACTGACTCCTTGGGCGTCTCCAACTGCTGGGAGTTCCCATCCATGCTCGCATTGTCCGGTACGGGACCCCTGGGCGTGGCGGGGCTGTGGGCATCAGGGATTCAAGCTCTGGGCCCTCGACGGCCACAGCTAGGAATGTTCTGGGCACCATCCGGATGTGGAATAAGGCCTGGGTATACTTGTGCCGCCGCCTGGAGGGGCCAGTGTGGCTCTAAGTCAAGCTCCTGCTGCTGCTAGCTCTATGCCCAGGCCACGCAATGGTGCAAGCTCCATGCCTGCCATTTGCACCCTTAGGACAGACGTATGGGGCACAGATGGCCATAGTGATGAAACCCAGTGTGTGGGGGCACTTGGTACATTTGGGGTTTCATTCTAGGCAGGACTGCTGGGGCTGGGGGTATGAGGCCATGGCCCAACATGGGACTCTGGGTGGTGGATCGACTGCCAGTGTCAGTGTCCTACCTGGGTGCCCACAGCCGGGTGCCCGGCTGCCCTGCTGAGCTCCACAGGGCTCTTGGTCAGGCCTGGCTGTGGTGGAAAGGGGGGCCAGGCAGGTGCAAATGCTGGCTGCAGAGGGCTGTGTGTGAGCATGTGTGGGTAATTGGGGGGCTCATGGTGGTTGATGAGGTTCTTAAAGGGCTGTCGCCTGGATTGTGAAACCTCTGATAGCTACACGTCCTCCTACCTCTGGCTCAGCCCATTTTTCCTGCCCTGAAAGACATGGCCCTCAAATCTGAGGATCATGGTTCTAAGCCAGCCCAGGGAGGAAAGTCCAAGAAACTTTTCTATTAACCACCAAAAAGCTGGAAGAGGAGTGGTGGCTCAAACACTAGAGTATTAGCCTTGAGTGGAAAAAGCGAAGGGACAGTGCCCAGAGCCTGAGTTCAAGTTCCAGGACTGGCACAAAACAAGATGCCCTGAGCATCTGGGTGCCCAATGCCTGCTGACTCCTGGGTTAACCATTCAGCCTTCTGTCCAGGACTGTGTATAGACACGCCCCTCTGCTGAGTTGAGGCCAGTGAGGGCCGGAGGCCCAGAGTGCTGTGTGGTGGGAGGGATACACAGCCCACAGCAGCCCTGTGTGAGGACATTTACCTGCAGAGCCTGGCACCCAAGGGGCCCTTGGGACGCTGTGAGTGTGCAGAGCTGGTGTGCAAGGGTACGGGTCTCCTTACCTTCCCCTTGGCCCTTACCTGTGAACCCCCTGTCTGCAGGGGTGGTGGGCACAGAGGCTGGGCATCCCTGCAGTCCTGGAAGCAGCTGGAAGGAGCTGGGACTCTGGGCTGTGATGTCCTGGGGAGGGGGCCAGGCTGTCACCCCTCCTGGCTGTATCTGCAGACTCCTCCAGGGGGGCACAGAGTTGGTGGGGGACTCTGGGACTCTGAATGGCTTCCTAGAGAACTTTGTCCCCCCCCCCCCCCCCCCGCTCCCCAACTTGGGCCACTTCACTTCTTCCTGGTAGGGATTCAGCCTTTCCCCTTCAACACATGCTTGGGCCCCACCCGGGAAAGGGGTGCAAGGTCCTTGAGAATGCTTGGCAGCGAACAGAGACAGGAGGAGTAGCAGAGACAGAAAGGAAGCGGCAGCTGCTCTCAGTGTTGAGAAAGGGGAAACTAAGGTATCCTAAAACTATGAACGGATAGGTCCTGGGCCAGTATCCCACCTTTCCAGATCAGAAACTCCCCTGACCCTCTGCCATGGGCCCCTACTGCCCCCTACTGGTCATTCCAGGAAGGAACTCAGGTCCTACACTAGGCACTGGTGGGGTTTGGAATCAGGAGTGAGGTTAAATGGTTTCCTGAAGCCTTGGCTCCCAACAAGAGGTGATTTTTACATTGCCACTGCCATAGCCTGCGGGAGGAGACTGGCCAGGGGAGAGGTTGCAGAGGTCTAGGAGGGTGTTCCCAATAACTGAGTATGCAGGTGTGCCAGATGGGACCCCGTAACAGGATAACAGTGAGGCAGAGGGGGGCCTGTGGTCTTCTAGGGACTGGGAACTAGAGGGACACAGGTGCCTGGGGCCAGAGGGGCAGCCCCAAGGGTAACAGCTGTGCCCCCACCCCCTCTCAGGGTATGTCCAAGGCTGCCGTGCCCTCATGATCACTGCCATCCTCCTGGGCTTCCTGGGCCTTGGCCTAGGCCTGCTGGGGCTGCGCTGTACCAACTTTGGAAACATGGAACTCTCCAGGAAAGCCAAGCTGGCGGCCATCGCAGGCGCCTTGGACATCCTTGCTGGTAATGGGGGAGGGGGAGGGATGATCTCTCTGCCTTCATCTCTTTGTCACCTTCCTTTTGGCACTGCCATCTGGCCTCCCTGGCCCCCTCCACCCTCCTCTGTTCTCAAATCTCTGGGGAGAACCAGGGGCTCCTATGGAGTCAGGTGTGAACCAGCTGGTGGCACTGACCCCAAAGCCAAGTAGGCCTGGAGAAGTCGCACTGCTCAGGAGGCAGAGCTAGGTCAGGGAGGGGTGCATGTCACCTACACTGGGCAACACGCCATCCATTCTGGGCCCATGTCTCCCATCCTGGTCCCTCACAGTAAGCCTGGGAGGCAGGTGGGGATATGGTCAGAAAGGCGACAGCCTGGGGTTGGAGGGCTTTGTGAGGCCAAGCAAAGGACCAAGCCCTGGACCTTCAGGATGCCTGGGATTGGGACCGGCTCCAGGCCCTAGGGGTGAAGAGTGAACAGGGCAAGGTGGAAGAAGGAAGGCCGTGGGGTGGAGGGCCCCCAGTGTTGGGACAGGGAGTGGAGTGGGAGGAAGGGATTGGGTAGACACATGCCCCCCAACCCCCCCACCCCGGCTCCTCGCACTAATGCAGCCTCCTCCGCCTCCCAGGGGCCTGCGGGATGGTGGCCATCTGCTGGTACGCGGTCAACATCACCCAGAACTTCTTCAACCCTCTGTACAACGGGACCAAGTGAGTGGGAAGCCGCCTGCTCCAAGGTTGGGAGAAGCACCCCACTTTCCCCCCTCTCCCCTGCTTATTACCACACCCACCCCTTCCAGGTATGAGCTGGGCCCCGCCCTCTACCTGGGCTGGAGCGCCTCCCTGCTGTCCATCCTGGGCGGTGGCTGCCTGGGCTCCAGCTGCTGCTGCGGCTCCAAGGAGGACCCAGCAGCCCGGTGAGGAGGGGGGACAGGATGAGGAGTGATTGGGTGAGGAGGGGGGTGGGGGATGGGGGACGAGGAGGGGGGATGGGGTGAGGGGGCATGAAGAGGGAGGGATAGCTTGAGGGGGTGGCGGGGAGCAGGTCCCTCTGTGACACGCCACTCCCACAGGCCCAGGCTTCCCTACAAGGCATCCACGGTGGTGATGGCGCCTGGCCCCTCAGATGAAAGCGATATTAGCTTTGGGAAATACGGCAAAAATGCGTACGTGTAGGTGTTGGAGTCTCCGCCTGTGGACCCCCCCACCCCTGCCCAGTGGGGGCAGGGACCCCTTCCCCGCCCAGGGACCAACAGCCCCTTAAGAACCTCAGGGAAGTCCTGCCCACCCACAGCCCTCACTCCTTTAGTCTCCTCCTCCCTCCTACTCCAGCCCCAGGGAGGGTGACTCTCATCCTCCGGACCCTCCCAGGCCCAGAGGGGCTCTGGAGAACTCCCCTCGGGCCCAGTGGTTGGAGAAGTCCCTCCTGTGTGCATCCTATATAAATGTATAACTACGTGCATCTATAAATGTGTATTATGACTGCCAGAGCTGCCCACTGCCTTTCAACTTCCTTCTCCAGCCCAGCAGTGTAGCGATTTCACAGTGGGGCCGAGGGGCTTGTGAGCATGGGGATGGCTCAGGATGTGGGGATGCGCGGTCCCACTGTGTGTGCAGCAGACTGGCTGGGTCTGGTGCAGGTGCATTCCTGAGTCCAGAAAAGGCTGGGGGGCAAAGGGGGGCAGGGCATGGCTCTATAAACAGCTCAGACCCAGGAACTGGGTGGTGGGCACGCTTGTCACAGGCAGGCCCAAGTGAGTACCAAGTGTGAGGCTGCTAGATAGAAGCTGGCACCCAATGGAAGCCTGAGGCTGAGGCCCAGGCCCATGCGTGTCCCTCCCCCCTCAACCACATCCTAGTTGGTGAGCAGACCCTCTCCTCTCCCCACACCAGCCCTCCTGCCTCCTGCCATCCCTTCCACTCAGGAAAATGATGGAGCACCCAGCTCTCAGGTGTGTGCCTGAGTGCAAGGCCTGGTCCCCTTGTCTTCACCCATCACATGCTGCACAGCTGTGTCAATCTGTGGACACACTGGCCCTTTTCTGCTGTGCTTTCCAGACTGTTTTTTCTTTTATTGTGTGTGTCAGTCCTGGGCCTTGAACTCTGCCTCAGCACTGTCCCTGAGCTCGAGGCTGGCACTCTGCCACCTGAGCAAAAGCTCCACTTCTGGCTCTTTGCTGGTTAACTGGACATAAGAGTCTCACAGACTTTCCTGCCTAGACTGGCTTCAGATTGCAATCTTCAGATAGATCTCAGCCTCTGAATTGCTGCAATTACAGGCATGAGCCACCAGCGCTCAGCATGGCTGGTAACTTGCGGGGAGCACCTTGCATCCTGACTTGGGTATACAAGTAGTGTCAGCCCCACACCTGGATTATCCTTAAACGTGCCACAAAGTGTGTAGCCCTCCCACCCTGCGCCTCCCACCCCGCCACAGGCCTCCTGAGAGAGAAAGAAGTCCCTGGGTGGGGACAGCCTCAGATGGTGCCAGCATGAACACATAGGATCTCAAGAGTAGTTCACTCGGGTCATTTATTCAAGAGACGGCTGAGGAAGTCCAGCACCTGGGACGGCCAGAAACTCCTGTTACAATAGGGGCCGCACAAGCGCCACCGCTCCACAGGCCTGTGGCCCCAGGACAGGCCCACTGACCACTCCCCTCTGGCTAAGTGCCAGAGGACAAAGACAGGATCGGCTCCTCAGCGGAACCTCTGAGCCCCGACCCCCACCCTCACCCCACTTCCTGGCCACCCAGTTCTCAAACCATTGGGTCTCTGAAATGCTCAGAGAAACTAAAAGGAAACAGACAATTAAAAAAAAATAGAAATTGATAACCAAGCAAAGACAGAAGCTAGGCATTGTGCAACTGTAATCCCAGTGCCTGGGAGACAGGAGCTCAACTTTGAGGTCAGCCTGATCTACATGGCAAGACTCTTAAAAAAACAGTAACTAAGAAAAGCAGTGTCTTGGCAGGGGAGTGAGGGAGTGGTGGCAGCTGAGTGCGGATCTGTCCTGGAGAGGGATGGGGAGGTGGGGGGAGGGACAGGGCAGGGCACAGAGCAGCAGGCAGCCTGTGGCCCTCACACAAGGTCTTTATTCCCATAGCAGCCTGTGGGCAGGACCAGCCCTGGTAGTCAGTCCTAGTCTTCCTGGGCCAGGCGGCCTTCCCTGCTCAGTCTTCCACTCCTGCCTCTGTCTCTGCATGGTGATGAGGCTCCGCCCCACTCACACAGTCCACTTCAGACACCTGTGGACAGAGGAGGCCAGGGGAGGAGCCAGGACTCAAGAAGCAGTGGGGATGGGGCAGAGCAGCAGGGGGTGTGGTGGTGGGGCCCCAGCTCACCTGGTCTCCTGGTGGGTGCCCAGACAGCGCACGGTACAGTACCGGGCACCACAGCTCACGCAGGTGTAGGGGGACGGGAAGCCACACACGGCGCAGAAGGGGCGCTGAGGCCGGGCCGGGGGTCCCGCACAGGCCGTCAAGTAGTTGGGGCCCTCAGCCACACTCAGGTTCTGCAGAGAAGTGCGTGACGCTGTGCTGACCGAGGCGGCTCTCTCTTTCTGTGTCCAGGTCTGTCCAGGCTCCCTGCTTCCTTCCAACGTCCCCCTCCCCCTCCCAGCCCCTCTCTTACCTGCTCCTCCCCCTCCCCCTCCCAGCCCCTCTCTTACCTGCTCCTCCAACAAGGCCTGGAAGTTCTTTCGGAAGCGGAGTTTAAAATGATCACCTCGGGTTTTCTTCTTTTTCTTTCCTGGCAATGAGTTTAGGTGACACATGGAGGTGGCCACCAAGCCAGGGATACCCCTGCCACACCTCCCTGCAGCCACCTGACCCCACTTCTCCAATCTTGGTCCCTTGTTGTTCCCATCCACCCCAGTCTAAGGCTTGCTTCTCCAGCCCCTATTGTACACACGAGGAAAACTGAGGCAGACAAAGGGGAGAGGGGGTGCTATCACATAAGCCAATCACTGGCAGGGCCAAGGGCCACTAAAAGGCCCGCTCCCACCCCAACCCCACACCTCAACAGTGTCTCCTGGAGCCTCACCTGTGTCTGCGTCGTCATCAAACTGGGGCAGCCTCTTGGCGAGCTGGGGAAGGCCAGCGTGGGGGTCGTCCTGGAAGTTGTCATTCTCCAGGGCCTCGAGCTGCCGGTCAATGCGGCGCTGGCGGGCGGCTCGATCCAGCACACGCCGCTGCCCAGGGTCCTGGGAGCGAACTAGATAGAGTGGGATAGAGAAAGTTCTGGGCCAGGCACCAGTGGCTCATGCTGTAATCCTAGCTACTCAGGAGGCTGAGATCTGAGGATCACAGTTCAAAGCCAGCCCAGGCAGAAAAGTCCATGAGATTCTTATCTCCAATAAAGTACTCAGAAAAAACTGTAGTGGCGCTGTGGCACAAGTGATAGAGCCCTAGCCTTGAGCACAAAGGGGCTCAGGGACAGTGCTCAGGCCTAAGTTCAAGCAAAAAGAAAAAGAGAGAGACAGACAGAGACAGGAAGGAAGGGAGGGAGGGAAGAAGGAAGGGAGGGAGGAAGAAAGGAAGGAAGGTAGGAAGGAATTTCTGGTAATCACACTAGTGGCTCAAGTAAGCCCAGCTACTCTATGATCTCAGCCTTAGCAGAACAGTTCACTAAATTCCTCCCAAATAATCAAGTAAAAAGTCAGGCTGGAAGCATGGCTCAGTCATAGAACACCAGCCCAACAAGCTTGAGGTCCTGTGTACAAACTCCAGTACTTCCAAAAGATAAAAAAATGCACCTCTACCGAACACACATAGAATTTCTGTTCTTGTTATTATTTCTAAGTAATATTGGGATACTACTGACGTCGATAGCATTTGCATTATATTAAGTATTGCCTGTAATCTAGAGATTTTTAAAGTACAGGGAAGGAGCCTCTATGCAAATATGACAGCATTTTATATTGGGGCCTTGAGCACCTCAGAGAGGTCAGTACCATAGCAGAGCGGTGGTCTTGGAACCCATCCCCTAGGAGCACTGGAGGGGAACTGTACTAAGCTCTTTACCAGGCATGGTGGTGCACATTTAAACCCCAGCCTTGGGGAGGTAGGAGCAGAGGATCTTGAGTTTGAGGCCAGCATGGCCTACCATGATGGAACACTACCTTAAAATGAAAAAGAGGGCTGGGAAGGTGGCTCAGTGGTAGAGCGCTTGCCTTGCATGCCTGAGGCCCTGGGTTCGATTCCTCGGCATCACATAAACAAAAAGAAAAAAGCCAGAAGTGGCACTGTGGCTCAAGTGGTAGAGTGCTAGCCTTGAGCTGAAGAGCTGAGGGACAGCGCCCAGGCCCAGAGTTCAGGCCCCATGACTGGACACCCCCTCCCCCCCAAAAAAAAAAATGAAAAAAAGAAGCCAGTGCTGGTGGTTTATGCCTGTAATCCCAGCTACTAGGGAGGCTGAGATATGAGGATCATGGTTCAAAGCCAGGAAAGTCCATGAGACTCTTATCTCCAATTAACCACCAGAAAACCAGAAGTGGAGCAGTGGCTTAAGAGGTAGAGTGCTAGCCTTGAGCTGAAGAGCTGAAGGACAGCACTCAAGCCCAGACTTCAAGCCCCATGACCGACAAAAAGAGAAATAAATTTAAAGCACAAAGTTTTGGTCACATCTCTGTATTTCTTCCTTTGCAAAGGTCAGGCAGTGCCCAGGTTCTGAAACTGCAGGAGTTTATGGTCTAGTCAGAAGAGAAATGATTAAGCAAACAGGTCCAGTGCTGCAAGACACGGAAGCACAAAGCAGGAGAGAGCACAAGAGCCTTGCTTTGGGGTGGCCGGTCAGGGATTTCTAACAGGTAAATCTAGGCTGAAGCCTAAGTCTTGAGCAGCCTGGGTTGGGGAGAAAGGAGAATGCTTAGGCCTTGGTGCCCTCTTGCATGAGGGAAGCCAGAATGGAAGAATGGGTGTCTTTTGTAAGCCCATTGGTATTCAGCCTGGCTGGCTGTCAGGTTAAGGCAGGCCAGATCTCACAAAGTCCTACCTTTACGTATGTAAAGGGGTTGGGATCCAAGGGTTTCATAAAGATCAAAGGAGAGCCAGCTGGAGAAAAGGGTGATATCACTCAATGTATTGCAAGTCAACCCACAGCATTCACACTTTTATCTTTTATTAAAACCTCTAAATGTAGGTCTAGACAAATCAAGATTCAGTGAATTAGAGCCAGGTGGCAGGTGCTGGTGGCTCACATCAGCAATCATAGCTACTCAGGAGGCTGAGATCTGAGGATCACAGTGGTCCAAAGCCAGCTCAGGCAGGAAACACCATAAGACTCTTCTCTCCAATTAACCACCAGAAAATAAAACGTGGAGCTGTGAAGTGCTGGCCTTGAGCAAAAAGAGCCCAGTGACAGCACCCAGTACCCATGACCAACAACAAACTAATTTCCTCAGGTGGCACTAGCCACATGTGCCTCATTTCCCACTGCTAACACACAGATAAAGAATAGTCCCATCATACTAGAAAGTTCTGCAGGACGGCACTTTTACACCACAACTGCTTTGCTAAAAGATGAACACATGAGCTAGGTGCCAGCGAGCGGCTCATGCCTGTAATCTTAGCTACTCGGGAGGCTGAGATCTGAGGATCCCGGTTCTAAGCCAAGACTGGTCAGGAAAGTCTGTGAGATTCTTATCTCCAATAAACGACTCAGAAAAGGCCAGATTTGGTGCTGTGGCTCGAGGGGGAGAGCGCTACTCCGGAGCAAAAAGCTTACGGACAGTACCCAGGCCGAGTTCAAGCCCCGGGACAGGCAAAAATAAAACAATTCTGCTGCTGCCACACGCCTTCGTCCCACGCCTCTGAGGACCCGGGTGGTGGCGCCCTCCTGCCATCCAGGAATTGAAGAGTTCAAAGCCAGCCCGGGCTACACAGTAAGACCTTGGCCCGAACAGCCTTCGGTGGCTTCTCCACCGTCTCTGCGTGGCCCTCTGCCCAAGGCACGTCTCACTCCGCCATGCAAGAGCGGATGCGCAAGTCCCCATCCCAGAAACTCGGTTTGGGGGAGTCTTTTTCCCCCACTGCATCCGCAGCCAGCGCCGGGCCGGAGCAGGAGTGAGAGGCTCGGGGCTTCCCTGCTGCCGGTAAGACAGTGAGACCAGGAGATCCCAGCTAGGTTTGCACCCCGGTGACAGCGGCAGGAGAACCGCTGGGGATTCACGTACCAGAAGTTTTCTTTTCCACCATTTGTGCAACACAGCGGCCGGAAGAGCCCACTGCGCATGCGGACTAAGCCAGCCAACCAAGCGGCGGCAGAAGCACGCTCACTTCCGGCGGCGCACGCGCAGCACAGCCTTCCCGCCGGCTTTCCCCCCCCCCCCCCCCCCCCCCCCCCCCCCCCCCCGGCACCGCCTGGCGTTCCCTCGGAGACCGGAACGCTTCCCGCCATGTTTTTTAAGGGCAGTCCTACTTCCGACCTCAATATGGTTGCCCCTCCTTCTTGAAGGAGCCTCGAGATGGGTTAAGGAGATGGTGCCGCTGGCTCTGCGAGCCATGTTCTTTTCCTTGGGTACTTGTGAGAGCGCTTTTATAAATGAGGGCGGCCCCCGGCGACGAGCTCCCCAAGCCCAGCGAGGGCAGGGCGGGCGGGGGTGGGGCGCGGGCCCCGAGTGGGCACACCGCGAGGGCCCCGGCGCGCCGTCCCGCCGCGGGAAGGGCGCCCCGGCCCCGCGCGCCGCCGCCCCGCGCGCCCCGGCCCCGCGCCCCGGCCCCGCGCGCCCCGGCCCCGCGCGCCCCGGCCCCGCGCGCCCCCGCCCCGCGCGCCGCCGCCCCGCGCGCCCCCGCCCCGCGCGCCCCCGCCCCGCGCGCCCCCGCCCCGCGCGCCGCCGCCCCGCGCGCCGCCGCCCCGCGCGCCCCGGCCTCACTTCCCGTCTCCGGCTGCGGCCTCGTGTCCACGGTGCCAAGCGGCCCGCGAGCCGCGGACCCCCGGCCCCTCCCCGGCCCCGGCCCGGCCCCAGCCCGGCGCCCCTCTCCGCGCCTCGGGACAATCCTTGCCTTGTCTCGCCGCCTGCATCTCGGGTTCTCCGTGGCCTCAGGCTACGCCTTTTTTCCAGGGCGGAGCCCCGGGCCTGCCCCGCTGGGCGGCCCGGATCCCGCTTCTAGAACCTTCCCAGCAGTCGGATTCCAGCCCCGCGTGATCCTGCGCTCAGCCCCCGGCCCGCTGCCCACCATGGCCGCGTGCGGCCTGCGACCCCGGCTCCTCCTCCTCATGCTGCTGCCGCTGCTGCTACTGCTGCTGCCGCCCCCCACAGTCCGTGCCTCAGCCTCCGACCGGGACCGGCCCCGGGGCGGGAACGTGGTCAACCCCGGTGAGAGCCCGAGGTTCAGGCCTCCCCTACCGGTCTGGAGCGCTGGGAGGACCCCCCGAGGGCTCCCGACGCTCCTCGCCCCAGGGCGGGAAGATTTAAGAGGGAATGGTCATCCTAACTATCCGGAGGCTGAGATCCGAGGATCACGGTTCGAAGCCAGCCAGGAAAGGCCATGAGACTCTTAGCTCCAATTATTTACCAAAAGGCCAGAAGTGGAGTTGTGGTTCAGGTGGTAGAGCACAAGGCTTGAGCATAAAATACTAAGGAGCAGTGCCTAGGACCTGAGTTCAAGCTCAAGAAACAAAGGGTGGGGGGGCCCTAGGGGAACTGGGGAGGCTGGAAAGCAGAAAGAAAAGGACAGCATGGAATTAGGGGAGCGTGGGGAGCAGTGGGCAGGTGGGCCTCAGATATTTGTTCCTGACTGATGACAGAGAAGCTGTTGGTGATCACCGTGGCCACAGCAGAAACAGAGGGATATTTGCGCTTCCTGCAGTCTGCAAAGTTTTTCAACTACACTGTGCGAGTGAGTCAGGGTCCCGGGGAGGGGGCTGGAGGCTGTGTGCAGGGGTCCTCATAGTAAATCTCCTCAGTGTTGTCTGTGCCTGAACCCCCTCCTGGCATGGCCGGTCTCTCCCACAGACCCTGGGCCTGGGACAGGAGTGGCGAGGGGGCGATGTGGCTCGGACAGTTGGTGGAGGCCAGAAGGTCAGGTGGCTAAAGAAGGAAATGGAGAAGTATGCAGAAAGAGAGGACATGGTCATCATGTTTGTGGACAGGTCTGGAAGGGCTGAGGGGGTGGGGTGGGGAGAGGAGTGAAGAAAGCAGGGAGGAGGGAGCTGTGGTCCCTAGCAGCCTCCTGCTCATCCTCCCTTTCCTTTACCAGCTATGATGTTCTTCTGGCGGGCAGCCCCTCAGAGCTGCTGAAGAAGTTTATCCAGACTGGCAGCCGCCTGCTCTTCTCCGCAGAGGCCTTCTGCTGGCCCGAGTGGGGCCTGGCGGAGCAGTACCCCGAGGTGGGCTCTGGCAAGCGCTTTCTCAACTCCGGTGGTGAGTGACAGGGGGCCCAAGGCTGAGGAAGGGGCCCAGAGTTGTGGGTGGGATGTGGGGTCCTCTAGGCCTGAGGCTGGGTCAGGTCCTAGGGACCCTGGGAGGTTTGGGGTCAACTCCTCTTCCACCTACCAGGCTTCATCGGTTTTGCCCCCACCATCCACCAAATTGTCCGTCAGTGGAAATACAAGGATGATGATGATGACCAATTGTTCTATACTCGGCTCTACCTGGACCCAGGGCTGCGGGTAGGGAGGATTGGGGGAGGATTGTCCCTGTAAGGGGAGGAGGGGGGCTCGGGCTGAATGGGAAAGAAGGTTTAGAAGGGGTCAGGCTGGACGCTGATGGTTCACGCCCATAATCCTAGCTAGTTAGGAGGCTGAAATCAGGATTTCAGTTAGATACCAGCCTATGTGGAAAAATCTGTGAGACTCTTCATTTCTAGTTAGCCAGCAAAAAGGTGAAAATGGTGATTGTGGTAGAGCACTAGTGTTGAACAGAAAAAGCCAAGGGAGAGTGAGAGGACTTGAGTTCAAGCCCTGGTACCAGCCCCTCTCCAAAAAAGAGAAGAGGAAGAGAGGATTGGGAAAATGTAAAGCATGAGGAGCAGGGCGCCCTGCGCTCTGTGGTTAACCGCCCCATCTTACCCCATCCAGGAGAAACTCAGCCTTAATCTGGACCATAAATCCCGGATCTTCCAGAACCTCAATGGGGCTTTAGGTAAGGAGGAGGCGCTGGGGGTGGGAAGCAAAGGGCCCTGCTTCTGGCCAGAGCTCCTGGTGGAACTCAGCTGGTATCCACCTGGCCTGCGTGTATACATCTGCGTACGCACACCTGTTCCCTTCAGCTTCGTGTTCACATCTGTGTCTACCTCATCTGTACATGTGTGTATGTACCTGTGTGTACCTCGCCTATATATTGACATCTGTGTCCCTCACCTGTGTATCCACACTGTGTACACCTCACCTGTGTGCTCACACCGGGTGTACACCTCACCTGCATATTCACACCTGTGCACACCTCATTTGTGTTCATACCCGTGTACTCCATCATCTGTGTATTCATACCTGTGTGTATCTCACTTGTGTGTTCTCACCTGTGTATACCTAACCTATGTATTCACACCTGTGTATACCTTATCTGTATGTTCACACCTGTGCACACTTCATCTATGTGTTCATACCTCTGTATACCTCACCTGTGTGTTCACATCTGCGTATTCCATCACTTGTGTATTTATACTTGTGTACACCTCACCTTTCTATTCAAACCCGTGTACACCTCCTGAGGTCCATCATGCTGCAGTGAAAACATCTGTCGGGAACATGCCGTGTGCTCAGTTATCCAAGAGCTTTAGGTCCTTGGTCACACCCTGTATAGCACAGGATCCCATGAGGGAAGGCCCCCCCAGGGGGAGGGTCTCTGGCTGTCCATCCTGAATGGATGCTTGGGGAGGGGAGGCAGCTACAGCCCATCCCAGGTCATTGCAGATGGTGGAGCTCTCTAGGGTGGCAGCAGCCTGCCCAGACCTACAGAAGAGCACCAGCTCCATCTGAACCACAATCATTAGAAATCACCCTATGTTGTGTGTGTGTGTGTGTGTGTATACATGTGTGCATACACTGTGCCAGTACTGAGGTTTGGACTTAGGGCTCAGGTGCTGTGGCACTCTCCCTTAGCTTTTTTGTGCAGGGTTGTTGCTCTGCCACTTGAGCCACAGCTCCACTTCCTACTTTTTGGTGACTAGTTGGAGATAAGAGTTTCACAGGCTTTCCTGCCCAGGCTGGCTTCAACCTGTGATCCTCAGATCTCAGCCTCCTGAATAGCTAGGATTACAGGCATGAGCCACCAGCAGCCAGTGACACCCCATATTTAGAAGATCCTGTTGCTTTCTTCCAGAGAAAAGGAGTCTAAACACCCTCCCCCCCCCCCAATTTCTTTCCCCAGATGAGGTGGTCTTAAAGTTTGATCGGAATCGTGTAAGGATCCGGAACGTGGCCTACGATACGCTTCCTGTAGTGGTCCATGGAAACGGCCCCACGAAGGTGCCCTCCCTCTGGCCTCTGCCTCTGCCAGTCCTGAGCCCTGGTTGTCCCCGGCCTCCTCTTCCCTGCTGCTGGGTGTCTGTGGACATCTGGGCCTTGGCTCACCACCGCTTCCCCTGCAGCTGCAGCTGAACTATCTGGGCAACTACGTCCCCAATGGCTGGACGCCCCAGGGGGGCTGTGGCTTCTGTAACCAGCATCGGAGGACTCTCGAGGGAAGCCAGGTGAGGCAGGCGCGGTGGGCTGTGGGAGCTGTCATGAGAGCTTGCCAGGTGGGGCCAGGCAGCGTGCAGGGACCCCCTGAGCCCCTCCCTTGCTGTGCTCCACAGCCTGCGCCCCGGGTGCTCCTGGCCGTGTTTGTGGAGCAGCCGACCCCGTTCCTGCCCCGCTTCCTGCAGCGCCTGTTGCATCTGGACTACCCCCCCGACCGTGTGGCGCTCTTCCTACACAACGCTGTAAGATGCCGCGGCCTCCGGGGGACCCCCTGCACCCCTCACCCACCTCGCACCCTCACCTCCCCTCTCCGCATCAGGAGGTGTACCATGAACCGCATGTCGCCGACGCCTGGCCACAGCTCCAAGACCACTTCTCAGCCGCGAAGCTGGTGGGGCCGGAGGAGGCGCTGGGCCCCGGGGAAGCCAGGGACATGGCCATGTGAGCAGCGCTCCCACCCCACACCAGGGCAGAACCATGAGGCCGTGCTTGCTCTGTTCCTTGGTGGGGGTAGGGGTCCCACCTGTCCAGCTGACCCTTCCTCTCACCCTTTGGCACCCACTTTGGCTCACACCACCTCTGGGGATGGGGGGGTGGGGTCTTATCGCTCTCCAGGGACCACTGCCGGCAGGACCCCGAGTGCGAATTCTACTTCAGCCTGGACGCCGATGCCGTCCTCACCAACCCACAAACCCTGCGCCTCCTCATTGAGCACAACAGGTCTGTCCTGTTCAGCCTGAGCCTCTGACAGCGAGCACCGGAACCCCCTCCACCTTCCCCCTCCACCTTCCCCGCCCCCTCAGCACCCGCATCGGATCCCTCTCCCCCACCCCGCCATAGGATCTGAGATCTTGGGACGAACCTCATCTTGTCTGCAGGAAGGTGATCGCCCCCATGCTGTCCCGGCATGGCAAGCTGTGGTCCAATTTCTGGGGGGCCCTGAGCCCCGATGAATACTACGCCCGCTCCGAGGACTATGTGGAGCTGGTGCAGCGGAAGCGAGTGTGAGTCCTGCCTGCACTGTGGCCTCTGCTTGAATCCCACAGGCCCTGCACCTTCCCCAGGCCCTCCCCCCTCCCCCCGACTCTGGTTGGGACTTGTGTGCTGGCCATGGCCAGCTGTGGGGTCGGGCCTGACCCAGGCTTTGAGCAGCTCAGCTTGCAGGGCTGTGGGGCCTCAGGCTCAGCCTTGGGATGCGCTTGTCTGCAGGGGCGTCTGGAACGTGCCCTACATAGCCCAGGCCTATGTGATCCGCGGGGACACGCTGAGGACTGAGCTACCCCAGAGGGACGTGTTCTCAGACAGCGACACAGACCCCGACATGGCCTTCTGCAAGAGCCTGCGGGACAGGGTGAGTGGTCAGCTGGGGAGGTCATCGCGTGTCACGGTCCTCACATGCCACCGTCAACCATGGAGGGGGTCTCCGCGTGTTACCTGTCCTCACATGCCACCGCCCCCTAGGGCATCTTCCTCCACCTCAGCAACCAGCATGAGTTCGGCCGGCTCCTGGCCACTTCCCGGTATGACACAGACCACCTACACCCCGATCTCTGGCAAATCTTCGACAACCCTGTGGTACGTGGGCCCAGGGACACGGCTGCAGGAGGGGTGACCCTGGGGGAGGTGGCCCAGGGGTGGGCAGGAAGAAGGCTCCACTCAGTGACTGTCCCCACCCAGGACTGGAGAGAAATATACATCCACGAGAACTACAGCCGCGCTCTGCACGGGGAGGGCCTGGTGGAACAGGTGAGCCCCCAGACCCTGACCCCTGCAGGCCCCCAAGGCCAGAGCCTCGGGTACATTGCTGGGCTAATGGTCACTGCGCCTGCCTTGAGGCCTGAGGGGTTTCTACTCAGGTGAGACTAGCGGAGATAGCGGGAGGCGTGGCTCAGTGGTAGAGTGCCGGCAGCAAGCCAGAGGCCCTGCATTCAATCCCTGTGCCATCAAATAGAAAGGAGAAACGAAGGCAGAGCAGATGGGCCGCTCACTGCCACCGGGGGCATTAATCAGTGATTCTTCTCTGTCCACTGAGGACACAGGCACTCAACCTTCCATCCTGTCCGGAGAAGCCAGTCCCAAGCCCGAGGCCAGGCTGTGTGGGTTGGCTTCTTCAGGACAGATTGTGTTGTTGGCAGTGAGTTTGAAAAACTCTGTCAGGGATGCTAGCCCCGGGCCCCTCCTTTCTTCGCACACAGCACCGCACTCTTCCACACTAGCCTCTCCCCTGCAGCCCTTCTTAGGCCTGGCCTGTTCCCCAGCTCCTTCCCTCTCCTCTCTGGCTCTCCTCCCTCCTCTGTCTCCCCCTCCCCCTCCCCTGAGCCCTTCCCGCTGCTGTCCCCAGCCCTGTCCAGATGTGTACTGGTTCCCGCTGCTCTCGGAGCAGATGTGTGACGAGCTGGTGGAGGAGATGGAGAACTTTGGCCAGTGGTCAGGAGGCCGGCACGAGGTGAGGGCTCTGGGAGAGGTGGGCCTTCATTCATTCATGCATTCATTCATTCCTGGGGTATTTCCAGGTACTTTGGTGTGGGCAGCACAGGTTCTGTGGACAGGCGTGGGAGGGCCAGGGGCTTTGCAGGAGGGGGCACTTACGGCCCAGCGTGGCCCTGCAGGTATGGGGGGCTGTGCCCAGGGATGTGGGCACTCAAGGCCTGCTGCCCGCAGGATTCAAGGCTGGCTGGTGGCTACGAGAACGTGCCCACCGTGGATATCCACATGAAGCAGGTGGGCTACGAGGACCAGTGGCTGCAGCTGCTCAGGACCTATGTGGGGCCCATGACCGAGAACCTCTTCCCAGGCTACCACACCAAGGTGGGCTGCCACCCCGCCACACCCCAGCCTCTGCACGGAGCCCTCTGGCATTCAGGGTAACATGGAATCTGGTCCTGGGTTCAAGATACTACAGGAAACAGCCGCTGGGCACCAGTGGCCCATGTCTGTCTTCCTAGCTACTCTGGAGGCTGAGATCTGAGGATTGGGGTTTGAAGCCAGCCCCGGCAGGAAAGTCTATTAGACTCTCATCTCCAGTTGTCTACCACAAAAGCCAGAAGCAGAGCTGTGGCTCTAATGTAGAGCACAAGCCTTGAGGGGAAAAACCAAAGGGACAGCACCCAGGTCCCCAGTTCAAATACTAGCACACACACCAAAAGCCCCCCATTCCCTCCCCCCACCCCCACCCCAGCCTTCCTTGCAGCTTCTCCCGTGCCCCCTATAGACCCGGGCCGTGATGAACTTCGTGGTCCGCTACCGGCCAGATGAGCAGCCCGCGCTGCAGCCCCATCACGACTCCTCCACCTTCACCCTCAACGTGGCCCTCAACCACAAAGGCCGGGACTATGAGGTGACGCCTGCCCCGCCCTCAGCTGGGCCTCTTCCTACTCTCCAGCTAGGTGTGGGCAGCTTCCCAGGGTGCCTACTGTCCTTTGCTCCTGTCCCCACCTCTCTTCCCCTCCTCCCCCTCTCCATGTCTACCCCCATAATTGCTGCTGCTCCTCCCCTCCATGTCTGCCCCCCTCCTCCTGACCCCTGTACCCCCCCATGCCCCCCCCTGTCCTCCTGCTCCATATCTGCTCCCTCTCCTTCTCTAGGGAGGCGGCTGCCGTTTCCTGCGCTACAACTGCATCATCTCGTCCCCGAGAAAAGGCTGGGGGCTTCTACACCCAGGCCGCCTCACCCACTACCACGAGGGGCTGCCCACGACGCGGGGCACGCGCTACATCATGGTGTCCTTCGTTGACCCCTGACACTAACCACGCTGCCAAACTTGCCCTGCCATTGTGCCTTTTTGGGGGGCCCTGCCCCCATCCTCAGAGGGTTCTATCCGTCTCCTGCTTCCTGACCCTGAGTCCTGTGTGCCTGGGCCGAGACGCCTCACCTCCTCCCCATCTCTGGCCCTTCAGGAAGCTCCTGGCATCCCCTGCCCTCCCCACCACAGCCGGGGGGGGGGGAGTTCCAGGGGGCTCCCCGTGTATTAAGTTATTACAGTTTTTCAGTCTCCCTCTCAATAAAGGAGAGTTTGTAAGTGGTGAGCTCATGACATTGGCTTTGGGTGGTCTTGCATCCACCTCCTGCCTCTGCCACCCACAGCGGGGGCCCTGATGGACGTGGTTTTGGTTTTGTGCCCATACTGAGGCTCGAACTCAGGGCTTTGTGCACTGAAAAGCTTGGCTTTTTCCACTCAAGGCCGGCACTCACCACTTCCACTTGAGCCACAGCTCCACTTCTAGCTTTTTGCTCGTTAATTGTGGATAAGAGTGTCAGAGTTTATGTGCCCAGGAGCTTCCGACTTCTCACCTCTCAGCTTCCCGAGCAGCTAGGAGGGCAGGTGTGAGCACGGGCGCCCGGCTCCTGCTTGCCTTCAGAGGGATGGGGGGAGGAGCGGAGCCGCTCGCTCCTCACTGCCAGCCTGGAAAATGCATCAGACGGGCTGAGCATAGGAAGGGCAGCACGGTCAGGTGCAGACGAGAGGCCCCCATGTTTTGTCCTGGCCCCCACTTTGAGGAGAGTAGGAGGGCATCTCTCTGGAGCAGGGCTGCTGGGATGGGTGTGTGTGTGTGTGATGGGTGTGTGTGTGTGATGGGTGTGTGTGTGTGATGGGTGTGTGTATGTGATGGGTGTGTGTGTGTGTGTGTGTGGTGGGTGGGTGGGTGTGATGGGTGGGTGGGTGTGTGTGATGGGTGGGTGTGATGGGTGGGTGGGCGTGTGTGATGGGTGGGTGGGTGGGTGTGGGTGTGGCAGCAGTGGGAAGTCCTGGAAGCCTGGCTCCTGTGGCAGAGCCTCTATGTCTGGGTAGAGGCATCCCCAGGAAGGTTCCAGAACTGGAATGTGGAGTAGGTCCAAAAGGAATGAGAACAGATCTGGGTCTCCAAGGAACCATGCTGGGGCCCCTCGAGGCCCTCTGGGGAGAATAGACCTTGCTCCTTTGGTGTGCCTTCCCCAGCCTTGCACTTAATATTCAATTTGCCTCTCAATCTTCCCTTTTGGAGGCCTTTTAATCCACCCTGTGCAATATGTCATGAATATTTGTCTTAGGCTTGGGAAGGTGGCTCAGTGGTAGAGCGCTTGCCTTGCATGCATGAGGCCATGGGTTCGATTCCTCAGCACCACATAAGCAAAAAGAAAAAAGCCAGAAGTGGCGCTTTGGCTCAAGTGGTAGAGCGTTATCCTTGAGCTGAAGAGCTGAGGGACAGCGCCCAGGCCCAGAGTTCAGGCCCCACGACCGAACCCCCCCCCCCCCAAAAACAGAATATTTGTCTTAAAATTCAAAGCCACAAAACAAAATGTTATGGGGTTAAAAAAAAAAAAAACAAAAAAAAGCTGGGTGCCTGTGGCTCACACCTGTCATCCTAGCTGCTCAGGAGGCTGAGACCTGAGGATTACACTTCCAGGCCAATCCCGGCAGGAATGTGAGACTCTTTATCTCCAATGAACCACCAGAAAACCAGAAGTGGCACCATGGCTCAAGTGATAGAGTGCCTTCCTTGAGCTGAAGAGCTGAGGGACAGAGCCAGGCCCAGAGTTCAAGCCCCAAGACCAACAAAAGTAAAAAACAACACCGAACTAATCTTGCCAAATTCACTCCCTGTCAGATTGTTGATAAATATCTTATGTAAATAGCTTTTTTTGAAAAGGAAATAAAATCAGCTGGAACTGAAGAAGTGTGACGTGGAAGTCTGGGCATGGTAGTGCACACCTGTCATCCCAGCGTTAGGCAAGGCCAGTGCGAAAGGGTTGTGAACTCCTGCAGTCTGGCCACATCAAATACATTTCTCAAAAGGTAAATAATTTTATTTATTTATTTGGTCATTTGTGGCACTTGAACTTGGGGCCTGGGTGCTGTCCCTGAGCGTTTCTGTTCAAGGGTAGTACTCTATCACTTTGCCCTACAGTTCCACTTTTCTGGTGGTTAATTGGAGATAAGAGTCTCACAGACATTCCTGTCCTGGCTAGATTTGAACCGGGATCCTCAGATCTCAGCGACCTGAATAGCTGGGATTATAGGCATGAGCCACTGGTGTTAAACATATATATATACAGGTTACCTGGTATGGCAGAATACAGCGTAGCCCCAGACATTTGGGAATGCTAAGCTGGGAAGCTACTTTAGGAGTTTGGGTCCAGTCAGCACAACATAGAATGAGCATGTCTGTGTCAGTGTGTGTACTGGTACTACAGCTTGAACAGTTGGCTTGCTTGCTCATGGCTGGACCTCAACCACTTTGACCCACCCCACCAGCCTGATATTTTGCATGTTAATGGCAGTAGAGTCTCTTAGACTTTTCTGCCCAAGCTGACTTCGAATCTGATCTCAGCCACCCCAGTAGCTAGGATTACAGGTGTGAGCCATTGGTGCTTGCTGTGGGACAGTCTTAAAAAAAAAAAAATGGGAGGGGGAGAGTATAGTTGAGGAGGTGGGAGGGAAAGGGATGGTAGGGGAAAAACAAAGGAGGAGGCAACAATGCTTGATAAGAAATGTACTCATTACCTTGCTCATGTAACTGTAACCCCTCTGTACAGTATTTTCACAATAAACATTAAAAAAAAAATTGCCAGCCAGGTGCCAGTAGCTCACACCAATTCCTAGCTACCCAAGGAGGCTGACCTCTGAGGATGGAGGTTCAAAGCCAGCCCAAGCAGGAAAGGCCAGGAGACTCTTATCTCCAATAAACCATTAGAAAACCAGAAGTAGTGCTGTGGCTGAAGGGGTAGAGCACTAGCCTTGAGCTGTAGAGCTGAGGGACAGGGCCCAGGCCCAGAGTTTAAGCCCCACAACTGACCAAAAAAGAAAAGAAGCATACTCCATATCTGACGTACTTAACTGTACATCACCTTTATAATAACAATAATTTTTTTAAGCTAAGGGACAGTGCCTAGGCCTTGAGTTCAAGCCCCAGGGCTGGTACAAAAAAGAAAAAAGGTACAAATCAGGCAAGCCAATCCTTTTCTGCCTTTTCCATCTCCCCAGCCCTGCACACATGCCCAGGAACGCTTCCTGTGTGCCTCCATCCCAGAAGAGAGCAGGTCATGTCAGCATGCGCCAAGCATCACTTGGCCATCTGGGGCCTTGCACCTGCCAGGCCAGCGCTGTATGAGTCACCCTGCCCACCGTCCACTTTGTCCCATGACCTGTGAAAACCGGGAGAAAGCCTCTTCGCAAGGTCCCTGGATGGGGACAGGGACGCTGGCGTCGCCTGCCTGTCCAGGCCCACTGTTGTGGTATTGATCGTGCTGTACATTGGGTACCATGAGTCATGGCTGCTTGGCCCCAGATGCCTGCGTACCCAGTGAGTCATGTCATTTGTCCTCATTACCAAGGGCCCAAGAGGATGACCTGAAGGACAATGTCACCCTGGGGAAAGCAAGGATGAAACCCACACCTCCGGGGCCTGGGATGGGGACATGCCTAGGGACATGTCTCCCCAGGCTCTAGCCAGTACCTGAGAGGCCAGGGTGGTGGTGAGGTGCTTGAGAGCAAGTCCCGAGGCTCACGCTGAGGGCCTTGTCTCAAGGGGCTCTCCAGTACTCAGCCTCCTGCCCCTCCCCCCCAGCAGAGCTGTCCCCTAAGCTACTCCTGGAGGAATAGACTCCCCCGAGTGCCAGATACCAGACAACAGTGGGACTAAGCATGTTTGTTTTCTTTTGTCAGTCCTGGGGCCTGAACTCTGGGCCTGGGCACTGTCCTTCAGCACTTCAGACTAAGGCTAGCGCTCTACCACTTGAGCCACAGCACCACTTCCGGCTTTTTCTGCTTATGTAATGCTGAGGAATGGGACCCAGGGCCTCATGCATGCAAGGCAAGCACTCTACCACCAAGCCACCTTCCCAGCCCCATGTTTGTTTGTTTTTAAAGACAATTTCCATTTATCCACATCCAACATTGATCAGGATTTATCTACATCCAACATGCTTCTAATATACAGAACATATAAAGATGTCTTTGGACTCAGGAGACTGAGATCCGAGGATCGTGGTTCAAAGCCAGCTGGTGCAGGAAAGTCTATGAGACGCTGATCTCCAATAAACCACCAGAAAATCCAAAGTGGCCTGTGGCTCAAAGTGGTAGAGCACTAGCCTGGAGCTGAAGGGCTTAGGAATAGTGCCCAGGCCAAGAGTTCAAGCCCCACGACCAACAGAAAAAAAAAAGATGTCTTCGACTGAGTGCTGGAGGCTCATGCCTGTAATTTAACTATTCAGGAAACAGATTTGAGAATCACGGTTCAAAACCTGGGCAGAAAAGTCCATGAGACTCATTTTCAATTAACCACCAAAAAACTGGAAGTGGAGCTATGGTTTAAGTGGTAGAGTGCTAGCCTTGAGGGGGAAAAAAAACTCAAAGATAGCACCTATGCCCTAAGTTCAAGTCCCAGTTTCAGCATCCAAAAACAAAAAGTTGCAATTCAACAACAAAACGACCCTTTTTAAATTAGTTTGAACTCAAAGCCTTGTGCTCTTGCTCTGCTTGCTTGCTTGCTTGCTCTTGGTTGGCTCTCTACCACCTGAACCATGCCTCCAGCATAGTTTTTGCCTTTTCTGCCCTTACTGGCAATGACATCTCTTGGGCTTTTCTGCTTGAGCCAGCCTCAAACCACAGTCCTCTGTATCTCAGCCTCCTGAGTAGCTAGGGTTATGGGCATGAGCCATAGCTCAATCTTTTTTTTTTTGTCAGTTGTGTGGGCTTGAACTCTGGGCTTGGGTGCTGTCCCTGAGCTCTTCAGCTCAAGGCAAGCGCTGAGCCACAGCACCTCTTCTGGTTTTCTGGTCCTTAATTGGAGATAAGAGTCTCATGGACTTTTCTTTTTTTTTTAATCCGATCGTGGGGCCTGAACTCTGGGCCTGGGCACTGTCCCTCAGCTCTTCAGCTCAAAGCTAGTGTTCTACCCTTGAGCCACAGTGCCACTTCCCGTTTTTTTGTTTATGTGGTGCTGAGGAATTGAACCCAAGGCCTCAGGCATGCAAGGCAAGCGCTCTACCACTGAGCCACCTTCCCAGCCCCGAGCTCTACTACTTTGATCCACAGCTCCACTTCCTG